TCAAGCTTGCCATCAATCAAACGAAAAAATTCCGCTGGCGGTTGTATAAACATCAGATCAAGTCTGATGTCTTCAAGGATTTCAGAGTGAACCATAAAAAACTCCATTAACTTCTGACAAAGAATGCAAATTAATCACAACATGGGGTGAAATGAAATTAAAGGCTCTTTTCTAATCAATGACAAGGCAGGATGAAATATTTGTTACTCTCTCTGCACTCAGACTGCCTAGGATGTTTGCACTTCCCTTGCAAAGCCCCAAATGTAAGGTGTGAGTACAGATTCACCCACAGTCGCTGTTGAGCCCCCCTCCCTGCAGAGCTATCTGCTTACAAGTCGTGGAGACTCACGAAACACACTAATCATCTGAATCTCAGGTGCATCCAATTTGTTATTCACACTCTCCCATGCCAGTGAAAAGCCTGGCGCAGACAGATGCACCAGGAACCCTAAATGACAGTTTTGGCCTCCGGAAGTACGATCACTACAGCAAAATCTAGTACAGCCTCCAGGTGAAATGTCTGGAGCTCCATATGGAGCAGGGAAAATTAACAACAAGATGAAAATCACTGCAGCAGCAGGGAGTCAGAATTTTTGAAAAAAAAAAATGAAATTTAAAGATGAAGAAAGAGAAGTAATAAATTAATGGGGTGTGAAAACATTCAAAGCTTTACAATACCAGGGGCACTATTTGCTCAGATTTTTTCCCTTTTTTTAACTTCAGGTCATTTTGATGTAATTTATTAACCAAGATCAGGAATTGTAGCCAAAAGAAAAACAGTATTTTTATACATGCAAAAGTACTTTAAATACATTTGTGTCTGTATTATCTTCACTTTCCTGTGGCATCTTGCTTGCCAAATTTTCCAGTGCCAGAGCTGATGCATCCCCTGAGAAGTCTCCTTAATGGATTAGCTATCATCGTAATGCAGGGCACTGTTGTAAAGTTTGAATGAAGGATGACAATTTTTAGCAGGCAATCCTTTTCATTTCTCCTAAATTATGGTGTCATTAAACAAACCATTGCCCACCATTATGTTTTTAAGTCAACTGAGTTTGGATCTGCATGATTAACTACAGGCAGCTCCGATCCTTGTCTAGACTTTGCATCTTTCCAGATTACTATTAAAGCTAAATTGTTCCAGAAATTGAGAAACTCTTTCCAAGATATTTGAAAACGCAATTTTTCATGATCCTGTTGCAGAATATGCTTCACAAACACCCAGAATTTAACGGCACTGGGGTCAGTGAGGGCTCTGGGGCCTTCTGGATCTGCCATTACTCTGCTAAATACATGGTAAGAAAAGCAAGAGGAATCTGGGGAACAGTCTTGTCACCATCTACATGGCACAAACCTCCAATGCTCTTTAGCATTTCTCATCTACAGAAGAGGCCTCCTTAGGGCAGAGAAGGCAAACTAGGAGAAGGGTTGCGGGGCAGAGTGAAAAGGAGAACAGGGGTATGAATAGCCAAACCAATTAAGAGGTTAAAGAGTCAGTCAGTTGGCTTATTTCCTGAAAGTCCTAGACCTAACTGTACCCATTCCTGCCTAAGGCAAGGTACTTTGCCTCTCTGTGCCTGAGATGGCTCACCCAAGGGCTGGAAGTAAGTCCCTGCAGGTAGAATGTACAGTCTGAGGCAGGTTCACAGGCTGAGTCGGGAGCCCTTTGTGGGAAGGGTGCTCGGTGAAGCCAAGACGTCATCGTTTTTCCTATTATAGGCAGTAGTACTAAGACTCTGCTCCCAGTCTTTTTTTTTCTTTAGAACTCTACACTGCATGCCAATGAAGTTATGCAACCCTAAGGCCTAAAGGAAACTAAAATAGATAGTGTTTCAGATAACAAACACCTGACCCACAAAACAATGAAACTCATACAGAATGGCTATCTCAACAAAAACCCGGCCCTTTAACCTTTATGTTGCTCCCAGGGCATTGACTGTTCCTAGTATCTTCCCAACACTCCTCCCTCTCTGAGCCCCCACCAGATACACACTGTGTCACCAGCAGGAAGAGGGGCTGCTAATGACTCTGTCAGCAGCACTGATGCTGAGCTGGGGGAAAGACAAGTCTTGAAGCTGGCCCCTCCTCCCAGCTTTACCCTCTGCTCATTTTATACTCTGCTCCAGTTGTGGCTGGCATGTAGCTAAGAACATTATTTTACAACTTGTGATTGATAGTTGGGAAATTCTGTTTTGTGCTGCAGCCCAACATTAGATCCAGGCAGGTGGCCGTTTGTACTTTTCAGAGCAATTTCATATCCATAGTCTTATTTGATCAGCATACCTCCTTTAATCAGAGAGGAAAGGTAGGCATTAGAATCCTCATGTTAGAGATGAGGAAACTGGCACCTCAGAGTTAGAAAGCAACAATTAAGGCCTGTGGTGAGATTGTGTTCGCACCTAATTCTAATTCTAATTTTCTGGCTCCTGGTCCAGAGCTCCTTCCAATAGGCCACTCCTCTCAATTTGCCACTAGTGAAAAGAGCTCAGGCCTAATGCCCTGATTAGACTTTGGGTTCACAGCAGAAATTCCCTGGCACTGTCCCCAGCCCTAGGAACAATCAAATGAATGTGATCTTAAGGATATATGAAAGGCTTTCGTGTTTCTAGGACCAGACTAGTGAGTGAGGTGAGACAGTTCTCAACTTCCTAAATAGAACATTGCTTTGACCCTATGGATGCTTTCTAAAGTAGTGAGTTTCTTGTCACTGGAGGTGTTCAAGCAGGGCGGCTGTTTGTTTTTCGAAGACATTGTAGAGAAGTTTGATTTGATGATGTTTAAGATCCTTCTAACTCTGATAGTCTATGATTCACTCCTGCCTACTCCACTTGGGAGTCAAAGAAACCAAAGCAGCCACAGTTTAACAGTGAGCAAATCAGCCACTCTGTTTGTCCAATTTATGAGAGGAGGCTATTTCACAGAGTGGGTAGGAGTTCAAACGACATAATGTGGCGTTTTTCCACATTCTCTTTGGAAAAACATCCAAAGAGAATGTTTTTCCATAACTCAGCCTCTGTGACACTATAAAAATATACATTTTTCTTCATGTGCTTTGTTTGAGGGCAAAAGGGAGGGGCAGGAAAGGCGTTTATAAAGTATCCTTTCCCTATCTTCAGCTTATAGTATAAGCCTGTAAAATACGTGCCAACTGCACCAAAAGTCATTAGCGGTTCTAGCAACAACGCACCCAAACTTCTGTTGAAAGACTTGGGAAATAGGCCTAATGGCATCAAAGCTGCTTTTATCTAACATGATTCAAGGAATACAGTTGTGTTTTCCCCCCATGCTGGCATAAAGGTTGTTGCTAACTAGGGAGTTGAGCATAGTATTAGAATTTTCCAACTTCCACTTGACTGATTAAATACAGATAAATTTAGATATTCAGGAAAACTATACTACAAAGGTAAACAGCCTCTTCTTAAATTCAACCACAGCCTTCATGAGCTTCACCTGTCAACTGCGATGGCAATCCATTTCTTAGACACATCACCCATCAAATCTCACTGATTAATTACTCTAGATATTAGGAATCTCAAGAATATCACTACATTCTCAACCTTTGCAACTTTTACTAGATGGCTTGTAAGTTTTCTACTAAGATTGGTTTGAGAAATATATTGTATAGGGTTTGTGTGCTCATTTCCAAAACTTCAGGGGATTTCACAAATTGGCCAAACTGACTTGTTTAAAAATTACTGACAGCCTAAGAAGCTTACCAAGATAAATATTCCAATGAGCTGTCAATCCTGAAAATGTGGTTTTAATTTGATGGGCTACCTAGAGCTAAGCAGCAAGGCGACACACACTCAAATCTCACTAAATGCTAGCACGCATGCCAAGCAACTGCATTTTAGATTTCTTCTATAAAGAAAAGATCACATTTAAACAAAAAAGTCTACGAATTTCAAAAGTGAGACTAACATTCTGGGACCTAACAACTTGGACGATTTCTCTTCCATTTATCTGATGGCTTTAACTATGAAAGCAAAATGCAAAAGAGACGTTTCACTGAGTAAAAAGGTCTTTAAATGTCCACATGGGTACCAGGAGCATTTGCTTAAAACTGCTTATAAAGATGGTAGAGAGAATGAGCCCCATCCTATTATTCAATAACCATGTTTGTGATGCATCTGCATAATCTAACCATGCATAAATTAGTATGTGTAATACAACACTTATTTGCATAATAATAGCAAGTTAATAGATGCTTAAAGAGCAGAGACCAACACCACCTTTAAATCAGACATGCCTCCAGGCACTTTGGCCTGTACAGACCAAGATGCCAGAAAAACAGTGAACATCAACCAGAGGAAAACAGTCAAACCATTCATTTTTCATCCCTCTAGACATTTCACTTATTTCTCTCCACACACTGGGGAATCATTTTCAAACCACAAAATAGCTCTATATTTTAAGTGCTAGTACGCTTCTATAATAAAAATCTTAAAGAAATTTTAATAAAGATTGGAGTCAGCAATACCAGTATAATGAACCGTTTTGTTTTCTTAAAAATGTAGACAGGAAGGAGCAAAATATTTTTCAAGAATATGTTCAAAATTATACTCATAAAATTGGGAGCCCATCTATTTGCCTAGAAAATAATGACCTAGATTAGATGCTTTTACCCTTTGTCTTAATCTTTTAACTCAAAAAATTTTAAGCGAATTTAAGAGCTTAAAAGTGTATCAAGAAAAGGCTGGCTCTCTCCTCCATCCTCAAAATGTGTACGTGGTCTCGGCCAGGAAAAAAAATAATCCTGAATGTCACACAAAGGAAAAGCACAATGATCACTCTCAACCTTTAACAAAGAAAAAAAAATCAGGAGTTTAAAAAAATCAAAAATCAATAGAGACTTCTAAATGACTCCTTTAAGATATCACTTTTCAATTTAACAGGACAGATTTATTTGTATGTGGCTCAAATGTTCACAATTGCTCCCTGCACCTTCATACATAGGAATGAATGTCACAGTGGCAAACGGCAGTAATGAACAATCTTACCTGAGGATATGGAAACCTCCCAAGAGCAAGCTGGGAAAGGAAATAATATTTGTCTAGTTATAGATTTGCATGCAGGGCAGATCTCCTTAAGACAGACAAGTACTAAATTTCAGAACTGCATCCAGAAAATACAAAAAAGCTCACAACCTCAAATGTACAAGCTAAATTATGGCTGTAATTACATTAAGAGCTGTATTTAGAATGGACATTTTCAATGGATGATGTTGCATCCCTGATAAAATATTTTAATAACAAAACATTATCCTTATGTGGTTTCCCTTAGTAATATTCTTGGCTGTATGGGCATTATTCACATTTACATGTGTGCGACAGTTTCTGCTAGACAGAGATGTAAAAACTCTCTGCTTTTCGTCTTGTAAAATGGGAACATCTAATTATTACTAGCCCACAAAATTTTCAGTTACAAGTATAAATGAAGGGTTGTACGAAGTGAGGAATGGACATTGTTATGAAATTGAAAACTGCGCCATTGTTTTTATCCATTTGTTAAAGTTTTTTTTCATCCATTTTCTACCCAGCAGTGGGAAAACGGCCACTTGAAGGTTGTGAAGTCAGAACTGTAGGTCTAAATCTAAAAGCTTCCAATCTAGCTTGATTTGTAAACTGCTCTGTTTCTAGGCCGATCACTTAATTTTGATCTTTGAATCCTCACTGTAAAAACAAAATGATCCAACTAGCAATAGGCTTGATATAAAGCAAAAATATATAAACCGTTTTTTTGAGATGGAGTCTCGCTCTGTTGCCCAGACTGGAGTGCAGTGGCGTGATCTTGGCTCACTGCAACCTCCACCTCCTGGGTTCAAGTGATTCTTCTGTCTCAGCCTCCCATGTAGCTGGGATTACAGGCGCACGCCACCATGCCCAGCTAATTTTTGTATTTTTAGTAGCGATAGGGTTCCACCACATTGGCCAGGCTGGTCTCGAACTCCTGACCTCAAGTGATTCCCTGCCTTGGCCTCCCAAAGTGCTGGGATTATAGCTGTGAGCCATTGAGCCCGACCAAAAAGATAAAATTTAACAAACATACCAAAACTTATTTAAAGAAAATAGTGGCAAAACTTTGCAATTTTATAATGTGGCCCATCCTCAGTCCTGACATCATTTACATGTATTTGTAATTACTTTCAAAGCAGAATGACAAGATCAGGGATTTAAAAACTAATGGATCTAAGAGAGTATCAACCCACTTCACAGATTAAAACCCAGAGTCCCATTGAAGTAGCTCCCAAACAGTTACTAGGAACTGACCCCAAGATTTGCAACTTAATCTAGTGTTCCTTCCAGCAAATTACACTGCCTTTCTGGATCTTGAGAAGTTCTGCATTCATTTCAAAGACACTAACACTGCTCAAACATTTCTGAATTCCCCTTTTGTAACTGTTTTAGAATTCTTTCAATTAACAGAATACCTAGTTCAGTTTATTAGTATTGCATCTTATCTTGGATTTAAAATTATACCCCTCAGCTTGCTCATCATGTAAATTATTTGTAGACTAAGGTTTGAATAGCCTATGGATATTACCAAAACCAAAGCAACCTACAAAAACTAAATATTTTGTTGTTTAGACATAAAGATGCTGAAGTTATCAAAGTTCTGAAACCAATATGAACAACAGCGATATAACAGGAATAAACATTATGACCTTGTAAGGTGACTACTTTGAAAAGGCCAACACTCATTTGCACATATGCCTGTGTGTGTGTATGTGTATATATGTATTTTTTAGAATACCTAGGTTTCACTACCTTGTACTCATATCTTGTACACAAAATATACACTGATGCGTGTATGGATTTTGAAGATATAGCAATACTATCACCATTTCATTTGATGGGCATCATTAATCTCTTCGAGTGTACACAATAAAAACATCACAAGATAGGGTGAAAGAGAGTATAGATGTTTGCCAAACTCCCTTTTGAAGTTTTGTGTGATTATGTTTGTTGTCTATGTACTGGGAGGGAAAGGGGAGGGACTCAGCTCTCCCATCCTCTGTCCCTACCCCACCTCCTCACAATACAGGTTTGCAGGTTTGCCCTACATTTTGAAAATACAGTTTGTTTCTGGCCAATCAGAGTGTGCACACTGATTCAGGAGGAATCACTACGGTCTACTGTGCTGGGTGAATTAGGCATTTACAACAGTCTGCAGTGACTTAACAGGCATCACAGTGATCTGTGGATTATGAGTTTTGCACATACGCCATTTGGAGTTAGAAAACCAGCAAGAGGAGAGTCTCACACCTAAAAAAAAGCTAATAGCTTAATAATGACTACAAAACCCTTAGAACATTGTAGGTCAAGTCCTTCCACAGGCATTGTGCCATTCACCTGGGTATATGCTGAGCAGATCATTAGGGACCATGGAAGAATTCTGTTCACACGGCTGAAAGACAAAGGAAACTTGCCCACCACACATACAGTCACAATCTAAACTAGCTGGCATGTACCAACAACGACCACTGGCTCTTTCAATTTAAAGAATTCAGCAATAATAAATGGATGGCTTAAAAGGGAGTGGGGTACAGACAAAAATATGAATTCTTCTCAATTCAACACAAAACTTCCAGTTCTAGGTGGTCATTGTTCTATGGCGAGGCCAGGCTCCAGCCAACTTGGGAATATGCATTCATCCACTTGGCCCTCTCTGTCATGACTGTACAAGGTAAAAAAGGATGGCTGGCTGATGTCATTTGTTTGTTCTGTAAGACAGTGCCATGCATGAGAACAGAGAGAAAACTTAGCGCAGTTTGGTCAGCTGGGAACCTCTGTGTACCAGTCTGCTTGGGGACAGGTGGCAGGGCTTGAACTGGTGAATTCATCATTCACGGGGCTGGCTTTGCTTTCAGTGCTGTTTCCTGAGATCTTGTGGAACTTCAGTCCTACCTTTTAACTATGTGATTCCTGGGAGGGCTGCTTCTGAGACATCCTGCAGGTCTGACCTCTTTAGAGTTAGAAGTCAGTTCTTTGATCTTAACTAGTAGGTCCTGCTGCAATTGCGGCATGATGACAATCACTTCCTCTCTTACAGAGCCACCATTGGGCTGTTGAAAGACTTGGGGATCTATGCCAGTGAAAACAAGCAAGGGCACTATTAGGCTGGCACTGAAAGTAATCATTTTAAGGCCCCAGGAGAGGACCCCTGCCTTCTATGTATGTCCCGATCCTTCTAGGTCTAATGCAGCTGCAGTGTTTATGTTCTACACTATTTGTCTTATAGAAAAGTAGAAGAAAACATATAGTCAGGCTCTAGAACTTTTTAAAATTAAGTTCTATTGGGAGGAGGTAAAAAAGAAAACAGCTTCTTAGTAGATATGGTTGCATGAAGAAAAAGTTCTCTACAAAAATGAGACAGGTGTTGTGGCACATGTCTGTAGTTCCAGCTACCTGGGAGGCTGGGGTGGAAGGATCTTCTGAGCCTGGGGAGGTAGAGACTGCAGTGAGCCTTGAGCATGCCATTGCATTCCAGACTGGGCAACAGAGTGAGACCCTATCTCAAAACAAAAACAAACAAACAAAAAAAACAAGTGCTCAATGAGGCTGTCAAAAGTCAAAATAAACATGGAATCCTTATGGGGAGGAGAGAGTACATATGCTCCAAGAGCATATTTCACACACAGGCAGACCTGGGGCCATTCTGTATCTTTTACCCCTACTGGTCTATTAATCTACTTGCATTTCCCCAGTTTTTATTGTCAAGGTATTATAAATTAGGAAACTTACAAAAGAGAGTATGTAATCTTCTCTGAAATGGCCTGCAGATATGTCACTGTACTAAATGTGTTTCAGATTTAATGAAGCTTTAATGTCCTTTTTAATTTTGCCTGTTTCTGTATCACCAGGGGTCGGGCAAGGCAATCAGCACTCAAGAGGGTGGTTTGGTTTAAAACTAGGAAAAAACTCATTTGCTTATGAGTTGCACTGTATTTTCTTAATTAAATTTACTGAGTAAAATGGTTTAAGTTCAGCCAACCAATGACCTTTGTATGTAGATTTAGATTTATAAATAGGTTAACAGTTAAAGGAAAGGGAAAAAAAATCACAACAAAGCAAATAGATTAGGGCTAAACCAATAGAAATCTTCGCTCTCTTTATCATCTTTACAAAAGAAGCATTTAAATATAGGCAGCTTAAGTCTAGTTTGTTTTTTTTTTTTAAGTATACTGAAAAATGTAGACACACATAAGTGCCAGCAATTCATCAAATGGGTCTCATATCCTTTTCATTCCCAGGAGGGGAGAAAAGCTCATATCGTAAAAGATTTGGAAAAGCTTTATTTATCTGAGGCCAGGGGGTGGAGGTAGAGATGAGGAATTCTATTTAATATTAAATTTAAAAGTACAGTCTAATTCCAAATACTTAAGATTTAGCAAACTGCTGAAGACTTTGTTTGTTGTGGGATGTTTATAACATAAAAGACAGAAAAAGAATGATCTGCAATGTTTACCAGTTGGGAACATACTTAAATAGCAGTAAACAACTAACATCTCACTCTAAAAACAGGACTGTTCCTTAGTGTCATCTTACTGACACTTGACTTGTCCAACCATAATCTAGAAAATGCTTTTCAGTTAGCAGCATTTGAATATGTTGGATTTCATAATTTAAATAACAAATATATTTGCATGTGTGTCATAACAATTGCCAAACATATAACATGATAAAAACCTTGGTATTTTAACAAAAAGAAGTTATTTATTTACAAAGCAACAAAATGGCATTTGTTGATAATAAAAATAATTATTGTCATAAAATCATAAATGATAAAGAGAAAACAAACATAATAGCCAGAAAACAAGTGTAGGACAAAAAATTCAAGACACGTTTTTGGTACTCGACTCTCCTACTCAGAATATCAACTATGCTGTGGGAGTAGTTTTAAATTTACAGTTTTACCAAAGAGCACTGGATTTTTTTAATTCTTAATTTAGACATATTCTATGTTTCTCAGCACAACTGCAAATTGAAAATAAGCATTTTCAATATAGCCCGTGATCTAGCTGAAGGAC